AAAAAAAAAAAAAAAAAAAAAAAAAAAAAAAAACTGCTAAAACGTTTAGCTGCCATCGTTTCCAAACCAGGAGTGTTAAGTCTGCGTGTCTCTTCAGCTAACGATCTTCTTGCGCAGCTCTTGCAGGCTACTGCCGACTTTGAGACCCTAGATTCCAGGTCCTGCCCGGCCCCCTTTCCCGCTCTCTTACCCTCTACAAGCCCGGTTTGCCCCTTGGGGGCCAGGCAGAGCTCTGGCGCTCTGGGACTCGCTTTTCCATCCTGATCTGCACGCTGGCGTCTGTGATTTGGGCACAGAGACCCCTTTATTCACGGGCTGTGCCGTCGCTGTGCTTCAATCACCCCTCAGCTCTGTGTCCCGTCCAACCTGACCCTGCTCCCTGGACACCTGTACATGATGGCCGAAATCCTGGCCAAGGAGGAGGCGCGCCGAGCGCAGGAGGTGCCCCCGTGAGTGAGGACGTGCGCTGGGGGCGGGGTTATCCGTTTGGGGCGTGGCTTAGCTGGGCAGGGCGTGGTCTTCCAGACCTGTGCCTGAGGAGGGGGCAGGCCCTGGGGTGTGGGTGGGGTCTAGGTGTTCGGCAAGGGGACAGACAGGTGAGAATGAGAACCCAGGTGCCCGAAAGGTTTGTCTGAGGATCCTGGGACTGGGGGATAGGCCTGATCTCTGGCGTTGGGTCTTGCACCCAGGAGATGAGCCTGGACCTGGGTCCAGAAATGGGGTTGGGTCTCGGGGGTCAGGTCCTGGGGTTTAGGGGATGGCGCCGGTTCCCGGGGCCCAGGTTGTGTGGCTTGGCCTCTGGAGGTGGGAGGCTTTCCCAGTGGGTGACTTGTCTATTCTCCCCAGGTGTTTCCTGAAGGTGAACCGGGTGGACGCTCAGCTCCTCCTGGAGCGCTACCCCGAGTGCGGGAACCTGTTGCTTCGGCCCAGGGGAACCGGCGCGGACGGCGTGTCGGTCACCACGCGACAGGTGTTCAAAGGGTGCGCATGTGCGTGGGAGCCCGGGTGGGAGGAACATTTGCATGGGGCGTGGCCAGAGTTCGGGGCATGGCATCCGGAGATGTCCTTCCAAGCGCTGGGTGTCGTTGCCTAGCGGAGGCTTGGAGCCCAGTCGGGGCTGCAGATCCTTCCGGGTAAGGGTCAGAACCTGGGGCAGTGCTGGGGACTCTGTAGGCAGAGTGCTAGGGTTAGTTCAGGTCAGGTAAGGATCGAGTCGGGAACGAATCTGGGCCTCTGGGACAGGCACCAGGTCAATCAAATCCAAGAATGGAAATAAACCCTTTGGGCGGGGGGTCAGGACCTGGGGTGGGGGTCATGGCCGGACGGGGGCGGGCCTTGGTCGGTGCATCACGTTCGCGAGAAAGAGCCGCGTTGGTGGTGGAATCGGAGCCCAACACGAAATCCTCGAAATCCTCCGAGCACCCTCTGATTAGGGGCAAGGCCACGTCGAGGGTGGAGTCGGAATCCAGGGCAGAGCCTTGGGAACAGGCCGGTCCTTACTGCGGGTGGAGTCAGGGGGATGGGGGCCTCCATTGGGGGGACTCGGTGGGGTCCGTCTTCCTGGGGGCGGAGCTAGGGCTAGAGGCGTGGTCTTTGTTGGGGGTGGGATCGATTGGGTCTGGGTCTGGGTCTGTCTCTGGCCCTTCCTAGCGGCGGAGCTAGGACGCGGCTGCCGGAGGGGTCTCCCCTGGGGGTGCAGTCAACCTTCCCTGGGGTGGCGCCAAGACTAGGGGCGGGGGCGGGGGCGGGCCCTCCGGGCCCTCCCCTCCCTTCTGGAACGTGATCCTGAGCCCAGTCCCTGAACAGGAAGCCCATTGTCCGGCACTACAAAGTGAAGCGCGAAGGCTCTAAATATGTGATCGATGTAGAGGACCCGGTAAGCTCTGGGCTTGGATCCCCACCAGTGCCGTGGCAGGGTGGTCCTCTTCCCACCCGCCCTGAACGTACCCCCGTCCTGCCCCCAGTTCTCCTGCGCCTCTCTGGACGCAGTGGTCAACTATTTCGTGTCACACTCCAAGAGGGCGCTGGTGCCCTTCCTGCTGGACGACGACTACGAGAAGGTGCTAGGTGGGTGCGGCTTCGGGGAGCCTGGGCACCGGGCACCCGCACCTCTCCCGCCCGCGCTCCACAGGGACACCTCCGGGCCACCCCTGGCCGCTGTGCCTCCCCCAGGCAGCCCTCTGTGTTCCAGGCTACGTGGAAGCAGATAGAGAGAGCGGCGAGAGTGTGTGGGTGGTGCCCTCCGCCCCGGGCCCAGGTGATGCCCCCTCCCCACCTGGGCAAGGAGGGAGGGGACCTAGGACACTGGACACACACACAGGCACACACACACACCGGTGGCGTGCCCCATCAGTACCCAGAGTCCAGGGACAGGAATTACCCAGATATGGCCCTGGAGGGGCTCCTGCATTGGCGGGGACGTGGATAGAGCCAGACACCGACACTGTGGGCCCAACCTAGGGTGGAGAAGCCAGAGCAGGAGGAAGGGGCCCCTAAAGTAGGGGGGAAGAGAGGGGAAGACCAGGGAAGGCGTCCTGGAGGGGGCAGTGCTTGCAGAAGGTCCCGAAGAATCCATGGCCAGTGGAGGGACAGCTTCCCCAGAGGTGGAGACTGTGGGTGGGTATGGGAAAGGACCAAAAATGCAATCGGTCCAGGGTATGGAACCGAGGAGCAGGACACGGGGACAGATGTGGGTTAGGCGGTGGGATCCTCCCTGGGCTGAGCTCCCAAGAGTGTGATGCACTTGTACCACACAAACACACATGTGCACACTCTGTGAACTTTGAACTAGCCTGTAAATGCAAGTTTCACACATGTAAGCACACATGTCCCAAATGCCAATCACGCCTATGCATGGCGCATCACAAATGTACCATCATCGGCCACGATCACATTCACATGCCAAAGTGCAAAGATTCACAGATACAGCTGAATTACACACGGACACACTCAAGACTCAACCATAAACCGGGAGCAGTGGTGTACACTCGCTTTCCCAGAACTCTGGGAGGCTGAGGCAGGACGGTCAAATGTTCAAGCACAGCCTGGGCAACTTAGTGAGACCCTGTCACAAAATAAAAAATAAAAAAAGGACTGGGAATGTAGCTCAGTGCAAAGACCCTGGGTTCAATCTTCAGTACTGAAAAAAAAAAAAAAAAAAACCCAACAAAACAAAAACCACTCAAGCATGACTTTAGCAGACAGAGGGCACTTCGAATGTGTATGCACAATAAGCATGTGTATAGAAGCCTTTCTTTATTTTTTATTTTTTTGGTCTTTTTGAGACAGGCTGTTGCTATGCAGTTCAGGGTGACCTTGAGTGCACTTTGTTGCTCAGGCTGGCCTGGAACTCACAATGATCCTCCTGCCTCAGCCTCCTGAGTGCCGGGGTTACAGGTATGCGCTACCACACCTGGCTTCTCAGGTTTTTTGTTTTTGTTTTTTCTCCAGAAGCCTTTTATGTACAGTATTTTTTTGTTTTGTTTTGAGGCAGGGTCTCACTCAGTTCAGGCTGGCCTTGAACTCACTAGGTAGCCCAGGCTGACCTCAAACTGAAAGCGATTCTCCTGCTTCAGCCTCCCAAGTGCTAGAATTACAGGCTTACTTATGGTATATTAATCCAAATCCAACCAGTGTGCATGTCCACACTATAGAAAGTACATATTCCTAATTGGGGACATTCACAGAAACACATGCACAGGGACGCAAGTATGTATCCTTGCATCCACACATAAGCCCCTGCAAGGTGCCCCTGTACAACACCGCCCTGACAGTGACCTCCTTTCCTCACCAGCTCCTAAGCCCCCTGCAGATGGCCCCGAGCCTCTACCGCCTGTGTCCAACCAGGACAAGCCCCCACTTCCTTCTCTGCCCCCGCCACCAAGCCAAGAAGAAAACTACGTGACTCCCATTGGGGACGCCCCAACTGCTGACTACGAGAATCAGGACGGTGGGTAGGGGACGGGGCTGTGGCGCCACAGGGTGGGTGTAGCTGGCTACCAGCCTGATGGGACACCACACCTCTGTCCACGCAGTGATTTCTTCCAGTCGGCCGATCGTCCTGAAGCCCAAGAAGTTGGCCAAGGCCCCAGCCAAGCTTCCAAAGCCTCCCATTGTGCCCAGGCCAGGTAGGATGCCTTCCCCAACCCTCCTCATGTCAGTGGCTGTGGGCTCGGCCCTCATCCGCCTTCCCTTCCAGAGCACAAAGGCAACAGCAGTGTCGTGACCAGGAAGCCACCAGGCAGCGCATTCCAGGATCTGTCCCTCAAGACAAGTAAGTGGTCGCAGAGGTGCATGCAGGGCTGGCATCCATGATGTGAGACCCCGGGGTCACCCAGGGTCCCCTGCACCCGAGGGCCCGCTGGGAAACTCAAAATGCCTCTGAACACATTTTCATTTTGCATTGGGTCCTGGGTGGACCTGGGGGCGGGGCACGGCCAGGGGGTCCCTGACCCAGATGGCCTGTGCGGTCCCCACCTCCAGGGCTGGGCGATGTGACAGCAGAGCTGGAGGAGAAGCTGCAGAGGAGGCGGGCGCTGGAGCAGTGAGTGGACCTCCTGGGGGAGCAGCGAGCCCATCTCATCAGAAGGATCCATTCAGGATTAAAACTCAAATCACACTTGCCTGGCAAGTGCAAGGTCATGAGTTCGATTCCTGGTACCGGAAAAAAAAACCAAAAAAAAAAAAAAAAAAACTCAAATCACCTCCAGGCTCACATGTGTGACTTGGCTTGGGGAGTTGGGGGTGGGGTCCACTGGATGTCGGCCCACTGCAGGCCCCACCTATTCCCGATGGGCTCAGAAGCTGCCTCTAGATGCTACAGGAAAAGCCTGTTTGTCTATTTGATAAGCTAGGAAGGCTGAGGTCCCCAAGGTCACAGCGCCCCTCCCCCCAAGAACCAACACCACAGCCTAGCCAGTGTTTGACCTTTATTAGGAGGTGAGGTGAGAGGGGCGCCCCACTCCCCGTGGTGACCGCCCACTCATTCACAAGTTAAGGCTCCAAGCAGCAAGAGAAGGGCAGTGCCTGCAGCCCCAGACACACCCTGCCGGCTGGGTGGCCCAGCGGCCTAGCTGAGGCTGGTATTGGAGCTGCTGGTGGCACTCCCCCGCTTCTGCAGGCAGCGCACAGAGCTGGGCACCTGCAGGCCTGTCGTCACGTGGAAGCTGCCGCACCAGACCTGGGGAGAAGGGGGAGGCTCAGCGCGAGCCCCGGAGCCCGGGCCCCCTCCTGCTCCCGGGCTGTGGGGGGCTCACCGTGAAGGCGGGCAGCAGTGGCTGAGTGAACTTGGCCTTGAAGGTGTGCAGCAGCTGCTTTGTGCGGGCGTTGTAGAAGGACAGGAGGCCTGGGGGCGGAGGGCAGTGTCAGGAGTCGGGTGGGGACGCGGGCGTTGGCAGGGGGTGAGGAGGGCGGAGGCCGAGACGTGCGTCACCTTGGTGGAAGTCACAGTGCACACCCAGGCAGTCGGGCACGGGGGCGTCCAGCACCTTGACCTTGTTGGCGTGCTTGGCTGTGAAGCTGACCTGCAGCCAGTTGTTCACGTGCAGGCACCAGGAAGCCGCGGTCTTGCCCAGCTGCTCGAAGCGGCCCAGGCTGCGGTAGGCCACGCCCACGCCGAAGGCCTTGCTGTCCGGCTCATAGCGCACCTCCCAGTAGTGGTCCCCGCTGTCGATCAGCGTGTCCCCTGGGGGCCGGGGGAGCCGGGTCAGCTGTTCTTCAGCCGGGCACTCCCTACACCCAGCAGGTGCTCCACGGGGCCCCAGTTGCCCCTCTAGGTACTCCCCTGGACCCCGGCCACTCCCCCAGGAACTCCTCAGGGCCCCAGGGACTTCCGGGTGCTCCTCAGCAGCCTAGCAGCTCCCTGCAGGTCCTCCTCAGGGCCTCAGCTGTTCCCTCAGGTATTCCGTGGGCCCCAGCTACTCTGCAGTTACTGCTGGACTCCGGCTTCAGTCTCCAGATACTCCTTAGATTCCAGTTACTCCGTTGGGGTACTCCGCAGGCCCCAGCTACTCTCTTTAGTGCTCCTGGGGCTCCAGGTATTCCTCAGGGACCCACGGACTCCCTCCAGGTACTCTTTGGGCTCTAATTGCTCCCTGCAGGTACTTCTCAGGCCCCAGCTACTCCCCTGGCTGTATCAATTCATTCCAGCCACTGAGCCCAGATACTCTCTAAGCCCCAGTTTCTCCTCTGATTCCCTCCAAGCCAAGCTACTCCTTGGAAATACTTCCAAGGTTTAGAGTTCCTCCCCAGATGCCCCTCCATTCTTTCCAGAAACTAGATATCCCCAGGCTCTTGCTCCTGGCAGAATCTGTACACCCAGAGCTCTCAAGTTCTTCAAGTCTAGGTACCCCGCTGAGCCCCAGCTATGGTAGAACCCAGGGCTCAGTGGTTTCTTGCCATTGCTTGTCTTCCGGATCCAGAACTGTCTAGACCCCACCCCTGGTGGAGGCCAGATTCTCCTGTCTCAGCTACTTCTGAGGGCTGCAGGTGCCCCAGGGGTTCCACAAGCAGGTCCCCCACCAGGCTTCCGCTCCTCCTGCCATCCAGATGCCCCACTGGCCTCACATGCGTCCAGGTACCCTCGGAGCTGTGCTGCTGCTCTGAGATCAGCTCTTGCAGGCCTCAGTCGCTCTCCACATCGCAGCCCTGAGCCCTCACCCTGCCTTTCCCAAATCCGGGTTCTCTATGTCTCAGCTACTCCCTCCAGGTGCGTCAGGACAGCTGTTCCTCGGGCTTCTGCTCGCCTCATACTCCGCTTCCCTTAGATCATAGCTCAGCTTCACAGATCTCAGCCCCAGCCCTAGTGACAAGGTGCCCAGGCTCCTTCTCCTTTCCAAAAATACCACCCCCCATCTAACTTTCAGCACTCCGTATCTGTACCCTGTATCTCCACCACCTCCCCTCTTTTTTTTTTTTTTGAGACAGGGTCTCAATATGTAGTTCAGGCTGGCCTTGAACTCACTACCTAGCCCAGGCTGACCTCAAACTTGTGACTATCCTCCTGCCTCAGCCTCCCGAGTGCTGGGATTGCAGGCCTGCACCACCATGCCTAGCACCCATCTCTTTAACCCCCAACTCTCCCCAGTCCCAGGTGCTCCTCAGAAAATCCAGATCGTCCACTTGACCACAACATCCTCTCAGGTCCAGCCTGTCTTCACCCCCTCCTCCCCCACTCCTTCCATGTTGATATTACTGACCACGATGACTTCCTCAGACTTCAGCCTCTGTCTCTAGCTCTTTTCTGGACATTGGCAATTCTACACTCCGTTCTACAGACCCTCGCTTCTCCCTCACAGGACCCAGTGGCTCCCATGATGTCACTTTCTCCTCCCACCCTCCCCTTCTCAGCTTCTCCTCACACACCAGCTACTCCTCACTCTGGCTCCTCCATCCACCCTAAGCTACTTCCCCAAATTTCTGGGGCTTTTTGGTGGTGGTGGTACTGGGGATGGAACCCAGGGCCTTTGCACTGAATGACATCCTCGAGCCTTTTTAAAAAATTTGTAGACAGGGTCTTGCTAAGTCATCACTAAGTTATCTAGGCTGGGCTCGAACTCATGCTCCTTCTGCCTCATCCTCCCAGAGTGCTGGGACTCAGGTACCAGCTGGAAACTGGTACACTGGAAACTGGCTGGAAACTCGTGTCCCGCTCCAGCTGCTCACAGGCAAACATTCCTTCCAGCTCCTCCCAAGATCTCAGCCTCTCCACAGACCAGGAAACCCACCCGTCACTGTGCCATCCGACACTCCTCTGCCCAGAGGCTCATTCTTATCCCCATGAGCTCAGACTCCTCACCGCTCAGCCCCAAACACTCCGGTCCTCCCAGGGCCAGGGCCGGAGCAAGGCCTCTCCTGGGGCCACTCCCACAGGAGCTTGGTGACACACCCTGCCTCCCCAGCTGCTCCCCTCAGAGGCCTGCCCAGAACTCCCGCTCCCGCCGCTCCATCCTTACCCAGTACTGTGTAGGACTCAGCCGTGAACCTGTCCCGTCCCCCACGACCTGAGGGCATCCTCTTGGGAGATGGAGTACCTCTGTGGGTGGCAGGGAGGGGAGGCTCAGTTCAGGCCTCTCCACATAGGAGGGCCTCCTTGGTCTATCCCAACCACTACTGATGTTTGGTTAATATATATTTAGAGAATATATATTTAGCTCTTTCTATATACCATGCCCTTCACAGTCAGGTCTGGAAAACTCTTATTCAACCCTCAAAATTCTGCCCAAAATGCCCTCCCCCCCCTCATTCACTCAGGGTTCCTCCAACCCTAGATTCCTCCCTCCACCCCAAGGGCAGGCTACCTGGCTGGGGAGTTGACAGGAGACGCTGTCCGCCCCTTGCCATCTTTCTCTCGAGCCTTGATGTCCTGCACCTTCCCGCCCATAGCGTCCCACTCCACGGCAAGGTCGTCCACCCGCAGGTTCTGGTGAGATGTGGACGCATCCAGGCGGAACATGAACGCTGGGGCCGGGCAGACGAGGGAGGTACAGAGATGGGAAAATCCAGAAAGACACAGAGAGACAGACAGGCAGGCAGTGACCAAGACAGACCAAGATGGGGACTGAGCAGGAAGAGACAAGGAGCCAGACAGAGACAGACAGGTGGGGGCTCAGAGAGAAAGGCAGGCAGGAAGACCCCAAGAGACAAAGCAGGAGGGTGGGGGACAAACAGGGAGCCGAAGGTGCAATGGGCGACAGGCTGGCACCCTGCAGCTGATCCCAGCAAAGGGGCGGGGCTCGGGCCAGCAGGAGCAAGGCTAGGCGGCGGAGGGACTTGCTAGCAGGACACTAAAGGTATCACCATGAGGGCCTGTAGACTCTGTCTTCCCTGCTGATGCTTCTCAGCTCTAAGTGGGCTTAGCTATTTGCTTGGGGGGAGGGTAGGGGACAAGAAAAAATGTATGTGTGTGTGTGGGTGTATAAAAACCACACAGATGCTGGTTGCGGTGGTGCACAACTGTAATCCCAGCACTCAGCAGGCTAAGGCAGGAGGATCGCTGTGAGTTTGAGGCCAGCCTGGATAGTGAGTTCATGACTAGCCTAGACTACATTAGCAGGACCCCATTCCAAAAACCAAGAGGAAAAAAAAAAAAAGCAAGCAAAAAATACCTAAAAAGAAACCTTCTAGGTATAATAGGATCACTCTCAGAAACAAAAGACGAAAGCATGGTTGTAGCAGACACCATATTAAGGAAGCCACTGTGGATTGAGCTTGGAGCTTCCTGGCAGCCAGGGCAACAAGGCCACAGAATCCTGAATGGAAGATTCTCATGTCACACTGGTACCCAGGGCATCAAAAGGGAGGGGGTATCAGGCTGGGGAGAGGATAGA